GGGTTAAAATGGTTTTAGGGTGAGAATTGGGGTTTGGGCTTTAGCCCAAACACACACATACTACAAATACACACACACACACGGCATGCATGTGCATGCATAAACACATACACACCTAACACACACACCCACGGGCACAAAATCACAAGGCCTTAAGGCCTTAATAAAAATAAATAAAGAAAAACAGGGCTTTAAGCCCTTTTTAAAAACCACCGGCCCAAGGCCCTTTTTAGGGTTTTAAAACCAAATAATAAAACTTAAAACTAAAGGCTAGGGTTTTGGGCTTAAGACAACACGGGCCTAAGGTCCGAGGGAGAGGGAAAGGCCGGGTGGCCTGTTGCCAAGGAAGAAGAAGGCCGGAAATTCGGCCGGAAAACCACCCCACTTTAAACAGCCATAACTTTGTCACTACTCAACGAAATCAAGCGAGACAAAAACGAAAGTTGTAGTCCTGGAAGAGACGAAGAGAATGATACCTCACGTCTGACTCGCCATGGTTTGGCCTGAAATTTCCTCGAAAGCCTCGGAGGTCGCCGGAAACTGGGTAAGATTCAAATGAGTATAACTTCTTCAATACTCAATTAAATTGAGTGAAACAAAAAGAAAAGTTATAGTACTTGACGGGACGAAGAGATTGATACCTTGCACGCCGGCCAACGCGCCGTGGTTTGGCAGGAAATGGCTTCGAAAGCCGTCGGACTTGCCGGAGGTTATTTTCTTGGTTTCGCCGAGTTGCACAGAGGCAAGAGGAAGAGGAAAGGGACGTGGTTTAGATGGTGATTGCGTCTTCCTCGAGCAGGGAGTGCAGCTGGGTGTGAGTGTGATCATAGAGAAGAGAGGAATAGAAGTATACGGGAAAGGGGAAAGGGAAGAGGAGAGGAAGAAAGAGAGAAGAGGGCTCGGGGACAAAATCAGGGGAGTGGGTCCCCTTGGATCACCATTTAAGACCAAAAACAAATTTTAAAAGGAAGATAAATTCCCAAACTTGATGAAAATACAAAAATACCATTTATATACAGTAAATCTTGGGACGAGTTGTTACATATTGTCTATATTCATTGTTTTCTTGTATCTTGCCGATATAGGGTGAAGTTTGCATTTCATCCTTCTTTTGCTTATGGACCCTTAATTTTAAGGATATTTCAACGAAAATATCGATAATGTCGTGGATATTTTAAACACTGCTGACTGGTCTAAACTAAACTTACCCAAACCCATTTTCACATCACCACAATCCAATTCATGAGAGCCGTTACTTGCTAAATGTTGCCCCATACACGAGTCATTAACTCGTTTAGAAAGTGTTTTTAAATGACTGAAACCACTTGAGATAATATTTTTGAGCTCCAAAAGCACTTGAAGTGTTTTATCAAAGAAGCACTAGTTTCAGTACTTTTGGAGGATTAACTTGCATTTTTATTAAAGATTAGTTATATAAACATTTTTTTTCTTTCTAAAATCGCTTTCAGTAATTTGAAAGCACTCCCAAAACGTGTTCTAAATTTTATCTGAATTTTTTTTTTGGATTGCGAAATTAAAGCATCGTGATTAGACCAAAGTCCTTGGCCAATGGCCACCTCAGCTAAAATCCAAGATGTATATAGCAGCCAGCAATTTTGGTTACAAGCATATTCCATTTGGTTTCTATCCACAAACTTCCAAAACGTTCAATTGAACGTGCTTCCAGCACAGTGAATTTTTTTTTTTGACGATGATAAGGATGTGTTGATTCCCCACATTGTTTCATGATTATCTCATCTACAGATGATACAGCTATGACCTTTCATCAGACTTTTTGTCAAATTTGATGGCTTTTTTCACTTAATTAAGCAGTTAAGGTCACGCTTCATTATAACTATCTAGTTTCTAGTTTCGGGATCTCTCAATTAGCATGTTATAATTCTCTCTAGAAGTAATTTTTCTTTAAATATGATTTTGGAAGTGCCCTTAAACAAGTAAAGGAGCTTTAATGGATTTTTAGTTTGAAAAAACATTTAAAGTATTTTCTGAAAAAAACACACGAAACAGCTCAAGTGTTTTTTTTCAAAAGCACTTGCATTCTTATGAAAAATATAAGAAGCGCTTACGTGTGTAAGTAGTTTTTGAAGAAAGCATTTCCAACCCGACCTAACTTAATCGGCGTTTTATGTGAAACTTCTTGGACTAAACAGGCCCTAGCTAACTTGATTGACGAGGTTCCAAGCTGAAGACTGGCACCCATTTCTAACCCGCAGAACACGTCTGTCATACTTTTCTTCCCCTAAACCTTAACGGATAAGTCCCCTGCACCTATAAGTACAAGTCCACTCCCAAGCACTTTGAACAACAACCCAAAAAAACATACAAAAATGGCATCCAAAACACAAACCCTAGCCCTAACGCTGTCCCTCTTGATCCTCATTTCTTCATGCAAGTCCTCCCAAGCCGCCGGAATCGCGACGTATTGGGGCCAAAACGGCAATGAAGGAACCCTAGCAGATGCTTGCAACTCAGGCAACTACCAGTTTGTTAACATAGCTTTCCTCACTACTTTCGGAAACAACCAAACCCCTGTCCTAAACCTCGCCGGCCACTGCGACCCCTCTAGTGGTACTTGCACGGGGCTGAGTGCCGACATCAGAACCTGCCAATCAAAAAACATAAAAGTCCTCCTCTCGATTGGAGGGGCCGCCGGAAGTTACTCTCTCACTTCAGCTGATGATGCAAGGCAAGTTGCTGATTACATCTGGAACAACTTCTTAGGTGGTCAGTCCGCTTCGCGCCCGCTTGGGGACGCGGTTTTGGACGGCGTTGATTTCGACATTGAGGCGGGTGGTGCGCAGTTCTATGATGAGCTCGCCAGGTCACTCAACGGACACAACGGACAGGCAAAAACGGTCTATTTAGCCGCAGCTCCACAATGTCCGATCCCGGATGCTCACCTAGACGGCGCTATCCAAACCGGTTTATTTGACTACGTTTGGGTTCAGTTCTACAACAACCCCCCATGCCAGTATGCAGACGGTAATGCCGACGCTCTTTTGAGCAGTTGGAACCAATGGGCCTCGGTTCCGGCCACCCAGGTGTTCTTGGGTATACCGGCAGCTCCTGAGGCCGCTCCGGGCGGCGGATTTATTCCTGCTGACGCTCTCAAGTCACAAGTTCTTCCAACGATTAAGAAATCGCCCAAGTACGGAGGAATTATGCTCTGGGGCAGGCAGTATGACATTGTCAACGGCTATAGTGCATCCATTAAGGACAGCATCTAATTAACTTCTCTGCCTCAATGGATGATACTACTTATAATAAAGTGCGTTAGGGATGATGACGCATCATTCCTAACCTTTTGAATAAAACATGCATATGTATTTTTGGAGAGATCTTTTACTGATCCGGAATTCGGATGGTACAACACATATTATATAAGTGGAGACAGACTTAAAATATAAAAAATTTCTCTTTATATAATGACATGTGGTATAACACTTTGTATTTGTGATACGTTGAAAATTTCTTGTACTTTTTACGATAAAACATGTCATTGCATATGCTAATTTTTGAAATTGAATAAAATATAGTTGCACATAAACGGTTATCTGATGTAGTTATGAAATGAAGTTATAGGTCCAAATAAATTGTCATGTATCATTGTCAATGGTTTTACATGATTGGCAGGCACTGTGTGCATGAAGGCTGGCTAGCTCATATTGTAAAGGCTAGCCTTTGGATGAAACTACCACGGCTGAGATGGTACTACGGTATAATCTAATAATTTCTTGGAGAGATCGCATTTAATGTCTCAAAAAAATTTGAGATGATTTCTTGGAGGGATTGCATTTAATGTCTCAAAAAATTTCGAGCGGTACTATGGATATTTTGAATATTTTAACTGTTAGAATTTGATTTTTATATTTTTAAACAAAGATTTAACGGTTAAAATACATAGAGTACCGAGTACTCGGGAGATCCCAATAAAGCGACTCCAAAGTCTCCCATCTTGTTAAGACGCCAACTGACATCATTAATGTATTAGAAAGGGAAGATGTTTTTGGGGTTGCCGGCCACTCCTGAGGTGGCCAGAAGTGGGTATATTGTGGCTGCTTTGCTGAATTCGGAAATTCTACTGGTGATAAAGAAGTCGTCGAAGTATGGTGGTGTGATGTTAGGGTCCGAGTTTTGTGATGATAAAAATGGATATAGTTATTCCATCATCGGAAGAGTTTGACTTTTGTAACTCAACGTTTTGGTTTCCCTAAAAGATTATATCAAATAAATCGGATGTCATTATCCTAATAAGATAGGTGATGCTATATATACATTTTGTTTTTTCTTTCACATATCTTCAGTTAATTTTTGTCTTTTGATCATCTTTAATTTATTCGATCTGACGGTTAAAAATTGGGAGGAGTGAGTGAAAAATAAAAAGAGTGTATGGACAGCATCACCTATGAGACATTGTCAATTTGATAATTATTCAAGCGAATGTTGTTTAATTTTGTTTAAGATAGTCTGTATCAACAATTTTTGTTTGACTTTTGACCTTTGTTAATAAACAAAAAATCTGCCTCATTTCGTAGAGACCGGTTCAAGCCCAAACCACAAACCATGTGTAGAATCACGTCGTACGTAGAATAACTTTCACAAGAGCACGGAACCTAGTCCCGTGCTGATCTGATGTGAGATCTACCTTAGTCAGTGTTAAACGGCCACACGACAAACGGTAAGCGGCGGATATTAGAATGTGAGTGTGACGATCTGTTTCCTCAATCGAACTATTAAAAAAATTTAGACAGTTTGCATTCAAACTGCCAAATTTATACTTTAACAACTTACAGTTCTAAAACATACGCCAAAATTAACTAGGGGGAAATCGGAAACAAAAAGAAGCACATTGATAGGATCACAAAAGTGTGCAACAGAAGAAAAAAAACAACCAAAGGAAGAAAGTATCACGACAATTCCGCTGGAAGTACAACACAAAAGCTATCATTTGAAACTTTTGTAGTGTAGACGAAGAAATCTATGTTACGAGGGCGATTATTCCATCTCCGTTGCACCTAAATTTTGCGCACTTGAATTTTGTGAGTGGATTGGAGCCGCCAAATGGGTTGCCTGCCACTTTGAACGAGTGCGACCTCTTCTCCTGCCTTTACCAATCCTTGCTCCTGCAAACAGAACAACAGAAAATGAACCATCAGTGCTGGCATGGTTGAATAGCATACGTCGCCATAAATTTAGGAAATCTGCAGCAAAACATCACCTTCAGCACAGTCAAGGCATTGCTAAAGCTTGTTTCAGAATCTTCTGTGAACTCCATGTATATATTGGACATACGCCTTGATACAAAGCCAATCTCCGTTGTATGCTCTTACTGCATGGCAATCAAAGTACTTGCTAATGAATAGAACTTTCACAGCATATTTTGACTGATACAGTTACAAATTTTAACTAAATGCCTTTGTGACAGGTAAATTGAAAACTCACTCATTCGTGAAGGCAAATATGATCCCGGTAGGTCGGTAATGGCTCAATAGAATAGCCATAAAACCAGTTTTGGTAAAGACAACGATTGAGGTACCAAGAGTATTGGACATCATGGTTGCATGGTAAGCAAACATCTCACTATGTGGTTGTGCAGAAATAAAGACTTCAGAGTCAGTTGTAACCGAATGAATTTCCAACCAATTCTATTATGACACTTTTAGTGTACTAGGCCGTGGTTCTGGCACACAGACAAATTTTGGCCATGATAAGGCTGTGTTGATTCTCCACGTTTTGTTTCATGATTATCTCATCTACTGACTATACATATAGCTATGACGTTCATCAGATTGTTTGTCAAATTTGATATTTTATTTCACCTTGGTTAAGGTCACGCTTAATAACTATTTAGCTTTTAGTTTTGGAATCTCTCAAATAGCATGCTATATTTCTCTCTGGAAGTAATTTTCCATTAATTATGTGTTTGTTGGAAGTGTCTTTAAAACAAGTGTTTTTAGGTTGAAAAAACACTTAAAAGTGCTTTCTAAAAAAAAGCACACGCTAAGCACCTTGAGTGTGTTTTCTAAAAACGCTTGCATTCTTACGAAAAATATTAAAAGCACTTATGAGTGGTTTTTGAAAAAAGAATTTCCAACACGACCTAACTTAATTGACAAATTTCTAAGTTGTCAAGTGAAACTTGGACTAAACAGGCCCTAACTTGGTTCACGCGGTTCCATGCATGCAGAAGACTGGCACCCATTTTGTACCCGCAAGACACGTCTGTCATACTTCTCTTCCCCTAAACCTTCATCGACAAGTCCCCTGTAGGGGTGGGCGCGGTGCGCTTCGGTGCGGTTTCGAGTGAAACCGCAACCGAAACCAAATTTTTTTGCGGTGCGGTTCGGTGCAGTTTTGAAGCCAAAACTGAAATGAAACCAAACCGTTTGGTTTGGTGCGGTACGGTTTCAAACAGTTTCGGTTCGATTTTTGAAAAAAAAATGTATAATTTAAAATATACACCTATTTAAGCATATGACAGTCTTATTTTTCTCATATATTAATCAAGGGAGCCTTGTGCACTGGGTACGACCTTTTTATTAATCAATGAACATGCAGCAAAAACAGCAACAACAATGCAGCAAAATTGCAAAAAAAAAGAACTGCATCAAAATTGCACCGAAACTGCAAAAAAAATGCCCCAAAACTGTAGAAATAACTTAGCACCATTACGAGGTAAACCATACAACACATTATAAATTATAATGGTAGTAAGGATTGAACCTTTTCAATGAAATGCTTTGTCAAATTGTCAAGAGCCTGAATTTGGACATTTTTCAGGTACTGTGAGACACTTGAAGATGTGGTTCACAAAATCTATACGAAAATGGATTTGTTACTGTTTGCTGATGAGGAAGAACTCCCTAATAGTTTACTCAACAGTGAGGATAGCAATCGATCCTGTAAAGAAAAACCGAAGAGTGTCGAAGTGGATGGAAGTTATAGAATCTGGGACTCATTACAAGCAGAAGGTGAGTCTCTTCGTCCGCTGAAAACTGATATTGGAAGACCAAGCGTCGAAGAGATCAAACAATAGGACGACCATGCTCGCAAGTTACTTGAAGCTCAAGAGAGGAGAGAGAGGGCTTGGAGATTCGCTTCATCCACAAGATGGATGCCCGATCTGCAGAGAGTTTGGGCCCCCAAACGGCTGAAACCATTGAAACCAAAGTCAAATCCGCTTCGAAAGCTGTTTAAAAGGAAGGATCATAGAGGTTCATGCGATGACAGAGTCTGTGAAACCCCAATGACAGGAATCAAACGTTCATGCTCGCAACGCAGCTGTGATGACGATGAAGATTACCGAGAATACAGTAGCCAGCCGTGCGGCTCTGTTTCGAAAGCATTGTTCCAGGATGATGAGCAGTGAACTGGAACTACATCGAGACATGGAAAAAGCATATACATACCAAAAGCAGCTGGACATAACCATTTAAAGTGCAAGCTTCTGTTGTTTAACTCTAATTGTCTTATAAATTTTCTGTAAAACAGTTAACATTCATCTAGTGATATCTGCTCTGTTCTATACATTTCCGAATTCGAAAATGTGTGATTTTTTATTTGTCGGAAGCGTCACACCCCTCTTGAATCTTTCCACACTAGAGAACTTCGATTAGGTACTGATCACGTTGTTCTCAGGGCACATGCTATATTATTTTTAGATCACATTTATGAAAACACGAGAATTCATGTATTTTAGTCTTCTCCAACCCTACATTTGTTTGTTTAATATGTGTTGCCCTAAGTGGCAGTTCTATCAAAATTTCTCTGAAAGATTTGACATTCCATTTGCATGCACCGGATAGTAAATATAAACTCTAAACTAAACTAACCCAAACCCATTTTCACATCACCACAATCCAATTCATGAGAACCATTACTAGCTAAATGTTGCCCCATACACAAGTAATTAAACTCGTTTAAGAAGTTTTTTTAAATGACTGGAAACGTTTTTAAAAAAAAATATTTCTAAAAATGTTTTCAATCATTTAAAAACACTTCCTAAATATACCCTAAATTTTATTCGAAAGTTTTTTTCCGACTGCGAAATTAAAGCATCGTGATTAGACCGAAGTCCCTGGCCAATGGCCATCCTCAGCTAAAAGCATATTCCATTTGGTTTCTATCGACGAGCTTCCCAAACGTTCATGTGATGTGATGTGATGATAAGGAGAGATTTTGGTTTCTATCTACGAACTTTCCAAAACATTCATGTGATGTGATGGTAAGGAGAGATTTTTCAGAAATACGGATCGGTACATCAAGTGTAATAATATAATTAGTTGGAAACTTAAAAAAAAAAATCAACCAATTTTATTATAACACTTTGTACCGGACTGTATTTCTGCACACTGAAAATTTTTGGTGATGATACAGCTGTGTTGATTCTCCACGTATTGTCTCATCAGATTTTTTTTTTGGCAAATTTGATGGCTTTTTAGTTTCGGAATCTCTCAATTAGCATGCTATAATTCTCTCTAGAAGTAATTTTTTATAAAATATCAGTTGGAAGTGCCTTCAAAACAATTAAAAGAACTTTGAAATCATAAAAAATTCAGTGATTTTAGGTTGAAAAAATATTTTAAGTGCTTTCTGAAAAAACACACGCCAAACACCTCAAGTTTTTTTTTTTATAAAACCACTTGCATTTTTATGAAAATATAAGAAGCGCTTATGTGTGAAAGTGGTTTTGGAAAATGCATTTTCAACCCGACCTAATTTAATTGACGTGTTCTAAGTTGTAAAGTGAAACTTGGACTAAATAAACAGGCCCTAACGTGATTGACGCGGTTGCAAGCAGAAGACTCTTACCTGCAGAACACGTCTGTCATACTTTTCTTCCCCTAAACCTTAACCGATAAGTCCCCTGCACCTATAAGTACATGTCCACTCCCAAGCACTTTGAACAACAACCCAAAAAAACATATAAAAATGGCATCCAAAACACAAACCCTAGCCCTAACGCTGTCCCTCTTGATCCTCATTTCTTCATGCAAGTCCTCCCAAGCCGCCGGAATTGCGGTCTATTGGGGCCAAAACGGAAACGAAGGAACCCTAGCAGATGCTTGCAACTCAGGCAACTACCAGTTTGTTAACATAGCTTTCCTCACTACTTTCGGAAACAACCAAACCCCTGTCCTAAACCTCGCCGGCCACTGCGACCCCGCTAGTGGTACTTGCACCGGGCTGAGTGCCGACATCAGAACCTGCCAATCAAAAAACATAAAAGTCCTCCTCTCGATTGGAGGGGCCGCCGGAAGTTACTCTCTCACTTCAGCTGATGATGCAAGGCAAGTTGCTGATTACATCTGGAACAACTTCTTAGGTGGTCAGTCAGCTTCGCGCCCGCTTGGGGACGCGGTTTTGGACGGCGTTGATTTCGACATTGAGGCGGGTGGTGCGCAGTTCTATGATGAGCTCGCCAAGTCACTCAACGGACACAACGGACAGGCAAAAACGGTCTATTTAGCCGCAGCTCCACAATGTCCGATCCCGGATGCTCACCTAGACGGCGCTATCCAAACCGGTTTATTTGACTACGTTTGGGTCCAGTTCTACAACAACCCCCAATGCCAGTATGCGGACGGTAATGCCGACGCTCTTTTGAGCAGTTGGAACCAATGGGCCTCGGTTCCGGCCACCCAGGTGTTCATGGGGTTACCGGCAGCTCCTGAGGCCGCTCCGAGCGGCGGATTTATTCCTGCTGACGCTCTCAAGTCACAAGTTCTTCCAACGATTAAGAATTCGCCCAAGTACGGAGGAGTTATGCTTTGGAACAGGTTCTATGACAACGGTTATAGTGCATCCATTAAGGACAGCATCTAATTAACTTCTCTGCCTCAATTGATGCTACTACTATAATAAAGTGTATTAGGGATGATGACGCATCATTCCTTACCTTTTGAATAAAACATGCATATGTATTTTTCGGAGAGATCTTTTACTTATTCAGAATTTGGGTAGTACAATATATTATATAAGTGGAGGCACACTTAAAAAAATAAAACTTTTTTTCACTTATATAATAATATGTGATTTACCATCCCGTATTTCTAATACACGCTCACCTCGTTTGGCACGCCGTATAAAGCATCGGATAGGATAAGTAATACAGGAGCTGTTGTTTGGTGCACTCTCGTACTAAATAAGCACCCGCTTAATTATCCGGCCCATCAAATTTTATACGGTTGACAACGTACTATTAAAACAGCCCAAAAGCTCGGGATAATTAGTCAGGGCGCTGTCCTCTCCAACTTCACAAAGCCGCCGTTAACGACTTCTCAAAGTGGGCCTTCGAGTAGTTCCTCGACGAGTTCTCCACCCCGGGCGCCACTCCTCTGCAGTCATTCGCCGACTAATTTCCCGTCTCGTCCGACGGAAAGCACACAGAGGAACAAAGAAGAGAGTGAGAGAGAGACAAAAGGAGACCAGTAGCGAAACAACATATTCCACAGGGA